AATAAAATTCAAGATTATGACCATAATTGGCCATCTAAATTTATTTCTGCCATGTCCTTTAGATAACAGGTTATATTTAGTATATATATTGTATTTTTGAAACAGGGTCTCACTATGCAGTTCAGGCTGGCCTTGAGCTCACTTTGTAGCCTAGGCTGGTCCTGAACTTGCAATGATCCTCCTGCCTCAGCCTCCTGAGTGCTGGGATTACAGGCATGTGCCACCATACCCAACTTGCAAATATATATGTTGTGAATACTTTTTCCCAGTTTTGTAGCTTGTCTAATTGTTTCCTTGATGAATTTTTTAATGGAATCCAATTTATGACACATTAACATTTAAACAATTTAGCAGCCTATCTTGACTATTTCACATATTGTATGACCGTGCTCGTTTCTTGCAAGCATCAGGGATTTTTTTCTTCCTCTTTGTTAACGTTAATATAACCAGCAAGTGATTTATTATCATGGGGACATGAAATTATCACCCTTTTAACAGGACTCTAAAGGGTTGGAGGAAGGAGGCCTCACAAAGTTCTCCCATCACAGCAATAGTGACCCTTAGAAAACTGACAGGAAATGATAATCATATAGAGATTAATGGTTTATATGAGACTTGATGAATAGAGACAGAAAAATTAGTTGCAATAAAACCAAATCAATAAGAGATTTTGCTGATGAGTAAAAAAAGAAGTAAATTAACTATTTCTGTCTGATTAGCCCTGAGTTAGTACCTGTAAATTTGCTTAAACATGTCTGGTATGGAATAATTGCAAAATAAAATAATCAGCTATTATTATTACTAATTAGAATTTAAAAACAACCCCAAGCATACTCTTAAAACATTTTGCTCAAATTAATACAAGTCCTCTGGATTCAAAAGAGTAATTCCAACAAACTCAACACTGCTTCCAGCTATTCAGAGGTGTGTGGATCCTCAAGTATCTCTGTATGTTTTTAATGCCTGACTTCTATCAAAGCAGGATATTCCATTAGTGAACAACAGCAGCCTGGCCATGCAGCAAGTGATGGACAAATTGAAATACAGCAAAAGGATCTTAAGGGTTGGAAAGCGACCTGACTTTCAATGTTTATCTGATATTTATCCTTTTTGTTATGATTTTCCTCCTTTATTTTTCAAACCTTATAAAGCAGCCAGGCATGGTGGTGCATGCCTGTAATCCCAGCACTTGGGAGGCTGAGGCAGGAGGATCATTGTGAATTCAAGACCAGCCTGGACTACAAACTGAGCTCAAGGCCAGCCTGAACTGCATAGGGAGACCCGGTCTCAAAAAGACAGAAAAAAAAAAACCTTACAAAGCAGACTTCAAGTGTTTTTAATTCCTATACTTTTGTTGAGTGACTAAGTCCCAGAAAGTCAGTCCTGTATACTTTTACTTTTCCAGATTTACTATTGCTTTTGCTGTTCCCTTTGTAAGATTATAAGCATAATCCTCCTGTCAAGCAACCTGTTTCTTTACAAATTGTGGCTCAGAAACTAGAGTCACGAACAGTTAGACTGGAGTACCCAAGAAGGAAAGAGCTCTAAAAGAACCCTTTGCAGCACTGGGAAACCATTCCTTTCTTATCATTCACTGCTCCAATGATGAATCTAAATGAATGTTTTCAGATGAGCTCTTTGTCATGGTGACGGGTCCCACCCACATGCAGCCTATACAGTACCACATGAAACAGCCTATTTTCTGATATGTTTGAGATATCAGGAACACAATGTATTTTTTTTCTTTAAAAGAGATGTTTTAATTGTTAATGTTCTATACTTTCCTAATTTAGATTAACGTCTTAAACTTAAAATGCTCAAATAGGTATTTCTAAGAAGTCTTTTCTAGGAAGCTATTTTTAAAGGGAATGATTTATCTCTTCCAGCATCAATATACTCTTGATAAAGCACGTCCCTCCACAAGTGCCACCTGGGCTTTGTACTATCTGTGATTCCCAAGCAGCCACAAGGTTTTCTGATGCAGCTCCTGTATCAATTGTTTTAGAGGCTGCACTCTTGAAATGTTTATTTACACTCATCAAAGGGCAACAGCTTTTACAGTTTTTCTCGTCTATGGGAACCAGGCCTGGTCTCATAAGGCCTCTGGGTGGGCTCTCCACAAACTGAAAAGGAGTTCCCAGCTGAAGTTCTTGTTCTGCCACTTACCTGGTTTGTGAACTCAGGCAAGCAACAGTGATAAGCCTCCGAACAGTAACAGTACCCGATAGTAACACTAGTCTTGCAGGGCACTGCAGACCAAATAAGAAAGCGCATGGGAAAAATGTTTGGTGAAAGTAATATGCTGGAGATAGATCAACTTCATTGATTTCAGTCCTTCTAATGACTTTCATTTTAGAGATGAATAAACACGTTCAAGAAGGATGTTATTTTCTTGAAATCCCTTACCAAATAAGGACACTGACAGACCCCAGATGAGATCGTATTTGTAACTCAGAGAAGCTCACCATAGGAACTGCCCCCATTGTCTATACCAGCTCCTTGGTCAGTGACACCCCTTTGTTATCACCCACCCTAGTGCCTATCTAATGAAGATGGGATGACCCCAGGTGTGGACTCTTGGCTTCTGCTTGTCAGCCCACACAGCCTCACCATCTTCCTATTTTTCCACTACAGACCTTCCAGATCACCCTAGTCCGGGTCCTTCTGCCCCGTAAGGGAAACACTGCCTTTTCTTTCTGATGTCAGGTGCAGATTGAGTCTATGCCAGGGAAAGACTTTGGCAGTGTTTGTGTGATGTGGTCTCTTAATTTCTGCCATCAAAGGATGACTCCTATCCCCACATATGTTTTAGAAGACCTTTGGAAAGTGAATAAAATGACACTCAATTTAAAAGATTTCTATAGTTTTCAAAATTTGCAGAGCTATGTCCTTTTAGGAAAGCTGGCCAAAAAGAATAATTAATTTCTCAGAAATCCGATTTAGACCATTTTGAATGGAGACATCATATATTAATTTGATGGAACTTTTCAACCCTAAGTCCTCAGAGTGCAGAGCTCTGCAAAATGTATTCAGAAAGCAAAGGGATGCTTCTTTTCTTGAAATCAGGCAAAAAGCTTAGTGAAAGAACTCAGAATATCTAATGGAAAGAAACTTCTTAAAAACAAGTCCTATAAAAACTTAAAGCCAGGGGCTGGGGATTTAGCTCAGCGGCAAAAGCGCCTGCCTGGCAAGCGCAAGGTCGTGAGTTCAGTTCCCGGTACCGGAGAAAAACCAAAAAAAACTTAAAGCCATTCTTGTTACTTTAACTGGATAGCTCTCATCTGTCACAAGTAATGCCCACACAGTCTTAACATATTTTTTTTAACCTTTAGGATAAATATATTGTGGGATTGTGTTCTACTATTTCCACAGCAACCAGTAGAACGGCTTGATAAAGTTAATGTCCAGGAAGTGTTACCTAATTAGAACCTCCAAATACTCAACTAGATTGTCTTATTCCACATTTTTGAAAAGAGAGGATAACTGCCAGAAATCAGTAAATTTGTACATGAAGCATTAACACACACATATATATCCACCACAGACAGCAGAGAGAGATTTTAGGTATGGCATAGCCATCAGTGAAGAAAGTGGACTCAGTAACAATGATTAAACAGTTTTCAGTGTGTTGATAGAAAACACAGCATTTCTAACATATTTCAGAATAGTCTACAATGTTTATGAAGACTTTGAATTAATTCTCACCTAAGCATAAATCTAAAATTCTGAATACCACATTTTCTACTTGCTTTTGTGTAAATATTTGCAGCCTTCA